TGGTTCTATAGTGATGTTGATTATAGAAATTTTATATTTTTATTAAGACAATTTTATCAAAGAATTTTGTCAATTTTTGTAATGTTGAATTTGTTTCAATTATGTATATTCTATTTTAGACTTATTATAGTATACGTATGGTTTTTTTAAAGAATATCTAAAATATTAGTTTTTCAAAGTGATGGAGAAGGTAATTGAAAATGCAATGAATAATCACTTCTTATGACTATTATTGATTTATTGCCTTGAAATACTTAAAAAAATTATTTATGTATTACATTAACGTTGACACATTCTATTTTTCAATTATTTATAAATACTTCCACTAATTCAGCACCATCAAGGTATTTGAGATTGTATTGGTTTAAAATATGGCACTTAATATATTCCAAGCTTCTCTCAGGTTGGTCATATCTATGATGTTGTGGCATAGATTTGGAGAAATGGACAACTAGAGTATGGCTTTAGCTTGTATTTTCTTTCTTTGATTTAAATTTGTGATGTTTGGAAGCTCTATTTATTTCCTTAGGTCATTGATTTTTTCTTTCTTCAAATCTATAGTTGTTGGTGTTCTAAAAGGTATTGGTTCTATAAAGTCCCATAGATCCTCTCTTTTAAAGATGCTTTGTAATATAATTGTCTAATGCTTATAATTCTTTGGTCCAGTTAACATTATTTCTTTAGAGCAAACATATTTCAATGTATTTATAATTATATTCTATAAAAAGATGAAAAAATGATATATCAAAATGATTTATTTTGTAAGAGATAATTAGCAATTATAATAATAAGAAGAAATAATGGTTTATCAAATAAACAACATGAAGAACTTGAATCAACATAGAAAACCTCTTCCTTAAATACCATGAAAAAATAACCTATATTAAAGAATAATACTTTATTAAAATATTAACATAATTAAATAACAATATATATTGGTACAAGTACAAAAAAAATACAACAAATAAACTACTTGTGTTGGCAATAAGTGGATCTTTATCCTAATACCTAAGCTTTATAGATCTAAATATTAATAATATTTATAAACATGTGATGAACAAGAATAATTATATCAACAATTATTTTATTAAAGTTTTTTTTTGAGGTATTGTGTTTTATTACCATATTGTTTAGAATAGTAATTGTCAAGGAAATAGAATAGCCAATATCTCAAAACTTGACTTCAAAATGGTTTAACATGGCTCAATTTAAAAAAAATTCATGAATTGAGGTTGGTACAATGGATGTGTTAGCATAGTAGGTTTGGCTTAATATATAAGTAAGGGCAAAGTAATCTCTTATATCTTTGAATTGTTTAATTGTGCATACTTCAATATAAGATTGTCGTAAAATGTCAATAGTCTAAGTAGTTATTGAAGATATGAATATCTGATTATCTCTTTTAAAAATCCATGAGTAAAATAGTTGTATTTAATCACCCTCTTTTTTTATTATTGTGATTTCTTCCCTCAATTCCTATTCTTCAAATAATCTCCCTTGTTGCTCTCATCTCCTATCCCTCTCTACTTGTGTCTACTCTAACTCTATCTTGCTACTCTTTACTTACATCTAGTCTTGCTCTCCCCCTGTTACTCTCTACTTATGCATACATACTAAATCCTTGTTTCCAATGCTTCTTCTATTCAAATATGAGTTACTATACTAGCTCACCTTCTCCAAAGTATCCTAAAAAGAATTCTGAAATTTGATTTCAAAAGGAATTGTAATGCAAGCAACCACAATACCTTTTGGAATATGTCTTTAACAATTTGAAGATGTGGCTTTAGCAATTTTTTCTCGATATATATATATATATATATATAATTGTATTTCAAATAGAAATTCTATTTTATTAATGAGGTGTATGTTAAAATTAGATTTATATTTCATTAATTAAAAATAAATATACAAGTTAATGGGTAAAATCTAATATGTCTAAAACTAATTTATGTATGCATTTAATACTAAATTATGATGTCCACATTTAACACAAAATTATGATGTTTATATTTAACACAAAATTTAATTTTTTTATATAATAATCTAATTTATGTATGTATATAATAAAAAATTAAGTATTTTTGTACAAATCATAGAATTTTAAGATATATGTATTTTTTAAAAATTATTTGTATGACATATATAAATCAAATAATGATTGTAAAAATTGTAAGTAAACAACATGTTTTCACTCAATAGTTTTTAAAACATAATGCTTATCTTTTTGAAAAGTAAAGATATAATTTTTTAAATTTCACAAGTAACAAAATCTTTCCCCTACCCCCGTTCCCCCCGTTCCCCCATCCTAGTCCCCAATTCCTGTCTCCAGCCCCGACTTCCCACCCCCCGTCGTCGTTTCGTCAACGTCACTGAATGGAATTCATGGACTGGAATTTGTGATCGTGTGTTTTTCTTTGCACAGGTTACTGGGTTGGATTTGCTTGTGGTAGGAGGAATTTTTTTGCGCTCGTCTCCATCGCAATGCAGGAAACAAAGCAGATACGCCAACACAACGGTGGTCATCGATGTCGAAGGTGTCACTGTTATCCTTCAGCGATTGCTATTTGTGGAACTCCAAATTCATGTTCCAAGACTCCTGGGTACCAACTCAAGCACGTCAACAGCTTGTAACGGGCAGAGGGTAGTGATAGTGAAGCAAAATTCACAAAAGTAGACCAAAAGAGACGTTCACATTTGCATATTCATTGTTGGCCCAACCCCGCACTGTGGGTTCCAAGGACGGCCTCAGATGCACATTTGTATCGAGTGTATGATGGCATTGTTTTAAGCAATGCTCAAAGAATGCCACCCTCGTGAACCGCGAGAGAGAGGCTCTGCTGGCCTTCAGGAGCCAGCTTGTAGAGAGCCGCAACGTTCTGCCTCGTTGGACTCCAATCTCCCACTGTTGCCGCTGATACATTGTCCCTGTCTTCGCACATCATTCCACCCTTGGCCCTTCCAGATATTCCTGTTATCATCCGATCAAGTTAGGACTCATATTGCTCACACTTGCCCATATGATAAAGAAACAAATTGCTGGAATGCAGTGCAGAAATTGAAAGAGGTAGTTACCCTTGTGCTTTGACGGTCTCGTGAAAAAGGGAGGAAGGCACTGGGTTCGGTTGAGAGCTAACGAAATCCTCGCCGCCGTTATATATTCCATGAGCTGATTTCCTGCTCTGATCCCTGCAGACAGTAGCGGCGCCAGGAACGTGTCGTCTTCATAAATCACAGCAGAAGATGAGGGCTTTAGGGATGGGCTAGGCGATAAGTCATTGGTGTCGAAATTCGAACCGCCTGAAAAAGCTTTATCTAAGGATGTATGCCGAATGGACGAGACTGTATCAAATCACGCAACTGGCTGCAAAGTTCGAATCCGTTTCGCGGAAAAAACAACGGGTAATGAGCTCCTAGGTGAGTCGCATTTGCGGAACCAGGTTTTGCTGAAATGCATGCAGTTGTCGACTGCAATCTTAACCTTTCCCCCCAAAATTTACAGTGTATCTATGAACTGAAATGAGCTAAAAGCAACACAATCACAACACTCTCTGTTCACCCATCTAGATCTGCCGCGGCAGCTCTTACAACCATTGCCGTGCGCTGAAGTCCAACGACAAAGGAGCGGCAACACCTACCACGAGCAAATCCAACCTAGAAAGCTGTGCAAAGAAAAACACATAATCACAAATTCCAGTCCATGAATTCCATGCAGTGATGTCGCCTAAACAAGGACGGGGGATGGGGGTGTTCGGGCTTGGGGGTCGGGGTTGGAGAGAGGAACTGGGGACCAGGCTAGGAGAACTGGGGAATGGGAACGAGGGAACGGAGAATGGGGGTACAATGATGATTTAGACATGTGGGTCAATTTAACAAAATTCTAGATCATTTTAACATTTTCTTGTATTTAATATATTATTTAATTTTAAATAAAATTTACATGTCTTTGAAAATTCTACATTGTAAATATAAAATATAAATCATTAATTATTTAATGATGTTCAATTTTTTGTTTGGTAATAATAATAAATATTATCTTGTTTTATTAATGTATATATTATATTAGTCCAAAAATCCTACATGATACACAGAAGCATATGCATAAATAAAAATTAGTATGTATAAATCCATAAACAAGTACATGCTTTTGTTGTTCTAATAATAATCGATTATTGCATTTATATTTGCAACTTTTGTATATGTGGACAAGAACCCAAAAATCTTCTAAAAATAATGAAATGAAAAGTTACTTAATTACATACTAAACATGATGCACTCTACTATGAGGTATTTATCCCTACATCTCTTTAAAATCTTTATAAGAGGGTTTTAAAATAGTAAACAAACTTATTGTCTTGATATTATTATTTAAAAGAAGAAAAAATGAAAATAAAACATAAAAAAACTAAATATAAGACATTAGAATATGCCCATCATGGAGATAATTAAGACTTGTAAAATAGCATTTTATATCATAACTTTATAAAGAAAATCGTATATATATATATATATATATATATATATATTATAAAATTTAAAAGAAATAATCATGTTAAGAATTTAATTTTTTATAAAATAATAATCATTTAATTTTATTTTTCTCACAATAATTTAGATTTTAAAGCAATAGTGGTCATACAAATGATTAGAAAACAAAGTTATTCAATCTCAATTATACTTAAGTAAACATTAGAGGTTTTATCTTACAGGGCCACTAAAAAGAAATTGAATTTTGGCATGCTACAGAAAACACGTCTTGTGCTAATTTAATGTTTTTTTTATACGTATTGAAATGGTTTTGCGGTGATTATTCAATTTATTCAGTGGGAACAACAAATGGAGAACAAGAATGGAGTGGGTGAGATCTGAAACATGGAACGCGAAGACGCGTTCCCGAAGTGGGATCATCGAGACCGTGCATCGGCCCGGAAAGATTGAGACCCTAGGATGATGGATTAGGGTTTCGGACATCGGGCTTCGTAGACCAGGGTAAGTCACAGCACTTGCTCGTTGCTCGTCCTTTTGCAGCCTTCGCTCGATTCTCTGCTGCTTCGGAGGCCAGCCTCCCAGTCTGTGATCTCTCCTTTAGCTCAGCAGCCATGAGTGCGGAGGCAGCCCCGTCCGTTGTGCCCGAGTCTCTCCTCAAGAAGCGCAAGAGGGACGAGCAGTGGACCGCGGCCAAGTCTGCGGAGCTTGCCGCTGCTAAGACCCGGAACGCTAAGAACCGTACGCTAATCTTCAAGCGTGCTCAGCAGTACCAGGAGGAGTACGAGAAACAGGTAAGGATTATTCTTTTCGAGGTTTCATTTTATATAAACCTGGCCGCTAGGGTTTGGGTGCACAACCGATCACTTAGGTTTTTTTTCTGTACGACCCTTTGCTTCCTTTCCCAGTCAGTGGAGGGCTTTAAGGCTTTGTGGCTATTCTCGTGCCAACGGGTTTAGACCAATATGTGTGGAGTGGTCTTCGTTCAACGGGTCTTCTTGGATGTCTTCATCGAAGGGTCCACAATGGGAGGTTTGCTTGATGCTAAACGCGTAGTACATGTACCCGAGAATCTGATGCGTTTTCTTCCGAGGTAGCCTGTCGAGGTAAAGTTTTTGTGGATCAGAGGCATGTGAACACTATTGGGTTGTAGAGGTTATTCTAGCTTAGTTGCCATTCCGCAGACTGTTTTCCTTCAGAGATTACGGAGTGCCAAAGACATTTGACAATGATAACAGGTCTATCGTAATTAAGGGTTCGTGTGCGATATAAAATAGAGCGTAGTTTTTTTGTGTGCGTTAATCTGTTCATACGACAATTGAGCTGTTGGCTATGATGTTTGATTATGGACTTCTCTAATTATGTCCATACTCTCTGCAGGAAAAGGATTTGATCAATTTGAAGAGGGAGGCTAAGCTGAAGGGTGGATTCTATGTCGAGCCAGAGCCTAAGCTTATGTTTGTCATCCGTATCCGTGGGTAGGACCTCGTTAAACGAACTTCTTTTGTGCTCAATTTTAATTCGCTTCCCCCTGAGAGCCATTGGTTCTTCAGCGAAATCTAGCGTAAAACACTTCTAACTAGTGTTATTGTTGATCCAGTATCAATGACATGCACCCGAAGGTCAGGAAGATCATGCAGCTATTAAGACTGAGGCAGATCTTCAATGGCGTGTTCATGAAGGTGAACAAGGCCACCGTGAACATGTTGCGCAGGGTTGAGCCATACGTGACGTACGGGTGAGTTGGAAAAATCACCAGTCTTCTGGTTTGTCACGAGAAAAGTAATGGAAATGTATTATCATCTCCACAATTGATTGCAACGATAGTTACTAACCCTTATCATTTTCCAGGTACCCCAACCTGAAAACCGTTCGGGAGTTGATCTACAAGCGCGGATACGGCAAGCAGGACAAATGCCGCACTGCCTTGACGGACAACAGCGTAATTGAGCAGGCTCTTGGAAAGTTCGGTATCATTTGCATTGAGGATCTCATTCACGAGATCTACACTGTTGGCCCCCACTTTAAGGAGGCGAACAACTTCTTGTGGCCCTTCAAGCTGAGCGCCCCTCTTGGTGGTCTCACGAAGAAGAGAAATCACTACGTGGAACACGGTGACGCTGGCAACAGGGAGGCCAAGTTGAACAATCTTGTTCGCCAGATGAACTAGATCTATGGTCCACGTCGCCTGTAATTGGAGGTCATTGTTATCTAGTAAACATTCCCGCAACACACAATGTTTGAATTCGATTCCTATTTGTCCCGTAGTATTCACATGCTTTTTCGCTATTCATGATTCCTTTTCAATACTGTATGTGCTGAATTAACGAACAGTCTCACACTATTCGCAGACTGCATTGGGAAGAGAAGATCCAGAACATAAATAACCTCAGTACGTTTACCGCACAATGCCCACATTGATCCGAATTGTGTGTCCAATGTCGTCCGGATGTAGTAGAAAGTCGGACAGTCGTCGGAAAGAGGGTATATCAAGGCATTTGTAGAATGTGTATGAAAGTTCTGTAATATGTGAATGACGAAGTTTACTTGGTAGTTTGTGATTACATTCACCAGTTTTTCAACGAATTCGTTTCTTTTCAAACAAAATTATAGAGTTTCATGACAGTCATTTTCTACGTATTAACACTAGTTTCGCTGATTTACGAATCGTAATCGCCTTGATGAATTTGAATTTGTAGATAAGCAATTTACAAACCCTGAAACATCGAAAGCTGAAGAATGACATCTACAGTATAGCATTTACCGTGAGGTAATCGAGAGTGGTCGGCACTAAATCCCAATGTACTGTAACCTCCGACCACAATTTTTTCGATCATCACTTCGATGTGTTAACACATGTTTCTCGGATATTGCGTTTCAACTAATATGCCTTGCCAAACCCATTATCACTGCTGGTAGCTTTTAAGTACAATTAGCTCTAGCTGACTGCAACTTTCGCTGTTGAAGTGGAATGAATTTGACCTTCACAGGCTCCTTTCTGAGAATTTGGAATGACAGTGGTGACAGTTACAATTGAGCATCGGATCAGTTATACTGATCACAGTTAAAACCACGAACAACGTACTTTAGCATTAAGTGGCTTATTAAATTGGGTTTTTGTGATTGGTTGAGAGCATGGTTATTGTTATATGCTCCAGCAAGGCTGAAGAGGGGTTTGAGTATCAGAAGGATTGTATATAATTTGCAAGTATTCTAGAATTTCATTGCACAACTTTTTAAGTAACATTTGAGAGAGTTGAATATAAAAAAGTTCTAATGTTGGTATTTTATGATGAAAAAAAAGTGAATTGGTTTTGCTTTGATAGTCATAGCTGGTGTTGGATTTGTGATATAGTCTTTTAGTGCTGAAGGAGTATATAAGCCAGTGAATTATTGAGGTGTAGGAGTGATGATATAGAGTTGTATCATTATAGTAGGCCTTGGCATGATGTGCAAAATGGAGATAACAATGGATCAATAGTTGTACAAGGAGATTTTAGAATGTGAGTGGACAAATCTCATTGCATGTATACAATTTGAATTTCAAAAATGTGGTTATCCAACACAATAATGATCCGAAGCATATGTTGAAAAACTTGTGACTTTGTGGTTGAATTCAAAAAGATTTTTTCTTCTCAAGTGGCTGTTCCAATCTCCACGCCACAATCTAATCAAACATTTGAGGCCAATTCATTGTTGTTTGAATCAATATGAGACCCCTTCAAAAGGAATGATAGAATTATGGAATTGTATTAAGAATTGTTAAGCTGTAATCACTCTTGATGAATATGAGATTATATAAAAGTATGCAAAAGTGAGACAGATAGATAGACTATCACATCTATCTCAAATATTATGATCATAACTGACTTTTAAATCTAAATTCATGTATAGTCATTTTTTAAAATATTCTTAAATAAAATTTAATTCAATCATTTTGTAAATATACTGCATTGTGAAAGCTACCTTCTTTAATTTATGGTATCTTTTTAAGTACATGCATTTTTCTTATATTAAATTTTTGAATTAAATCCAATATGAATCCATATTCAATTGTATAACTTTGCACATGTTGCATTGTAAACATAATTGCAATAATTTGTAAATGTCATTGTGTAGCTTTGCCTATGTTGAATAATATTGTTGTTATTACAGAGCCATGGTGGCAACAAGTTAGCACTTGAATAGAAAAAAATAGTTATATTTTTTAATATAATATTATGTATAATTTAAATAATTTTAGATGGTCAATATTAAAAATATAGTTTGAAAGATTTTTTTCTTACTAAACGCATAGTTTTGAAGTAAAAAAGTTAATTAAAGTGGTTAGATTAAAAATATATTTGTGCCATTAAAGAATCTTAAAAAAAATAAAAAATAAAAAATAAATCTAATCTTGGTATTTTTATATATTAACAAGATTGCTCAATATTTACCAATATTTAAATAAAGATTAAAAGTAATTATTGCTAAATATTTACCAATGCCAAAGTAACAGTTATTTTTGTATATAATGTGCACAAAAAAACCTCTTGTAAAAAATAGATTCTTAAGTTTTAACTATACTACAAAAAAGCCCTATAATTAGTTGCTCAACTTATTAAAGTAAAAGTAGAATAAGTTACCTTATAGAAGATATTAACTTAGGTAAGTTGCTAGTGGTCAAAGGTTTGACTCTTAGTATATAGTAAGGGCATCCAATGGATATATGACGAAGTCATGGACCAAGAGTCAAAGTCAAAAGGATAAAGTATTAACAAGAGAATATCCAAAGACTAAGTATGAGTCATTAGTATGTGTCATAGGATATCCTCGAGGCTCGTGAGATGCCAAAAGGATCTTAGGGCCACATGTGTAAAAGTCAAAGAGTCGAAGTTGTTTTTTAGGGCAACAACCACTACCTATAAGTAATGGGTATTGGAAGTGAGAGACATCTTATTCCATACTCTCTTTGTGTGCAACCTTGCTGATCCTAAGTGTTGTGTCTTCAAAGTGCTTGTTCTTCAATAGATTATGGGCCCACTCACCTTTACTTGTGAGTTTTGATGTACTTTGAAGTCTTTCTTGTTGTGAGGAATAGATCTTATGGTTGTTGCTGAAGTTTGAGTTTGCTCTCTTCTAACCCTTTTTATGCATCTAGTTGTTGATGTAGTTTTTGCTCTTACTTGTTGTTAAGTACATTGATAGTCTTGGTTGTTTTTAGACTCCATTTAATGATGTTTTAGAACTTGAGTATTATATTTCTTTGCTGAGTTTCATCATTGGTGCTCTAACTTTGTGCTTTCATATATTTAACTTCATAAGAGATTCTCCTACTATTACAAGAAGTGTTTTGTGTGGTTAGAGGGGTGATTGAAGAGTGGCAAAGCTTATGCAAGAGGTTTAGATAGAGTATAAGACTTGTGAGAAGTCTTACATGTGAAGTTGAGAGTGATACAAGAATGAAATCACTTGTATAATTACAAAGAGGGTATTTTGGATTTCTAAGGCAGTAATACCTTCTTGTTGATTTTGAGAGTTCTATCTTCTCTTTTTTTGATTTTCTTTCACACATCCCTTTCTTAGACATGGCTTCAAGTGAAGGTGAGAGCTTAAGAATGATTGAAAAGTTTAGAGGTGACAACTTTTACCATTGGAAGAAAAAAATGAAACTTTTGTTGGCTTCATTGGACCTTTGAGACATTGTTGATGAAAGTGAAGACCCTCCAAGTGACAATGATGATATCAAGGTGAAGAAGGAGTACAAACGTCATGAAAGGAAGGCTTTTGGGATGATTGCAATAAACCTTGATGATGCCAACTTTTTCACTTGTTATAGCTTGTAATGATCAGCGAAAGCATGGAAGACTCTTTGCAACATCTATGAAAGTAGATACCTTGCCAACATCCTTTGGACAAGAAGGAAGTTCTTGATAATAAAGATGGAAGAAGGAGATGACATCATGACTCATGTTAACAAGCTAAAAGCACTTGCTAACCAATTAGCAGTTGTTGACAAATTAGTTGATCATAAGGACATTGTGTTGACATTGCTCATGAACCTTTCTGAATCCTACAACTACCTCATTGTGGCATTGGAGTCTATTAATATGAAGGAGCTTACCATGAACTATGTCACGTTAAGACTTGCCGATGAAGTGACCAAGAAGAAAGAAAATGAGCTTGTAAGTAATGATTCGGCTCTATTTTCAAGACAAGGCAAAGGTAGCTATTTTCACCAATGTGATGATTCAAAAAGTAATATGAAGAATTACTATATTTGTAGAAAACTAGATCATTTTGCTAGAAATTGCTACAAGGCCAAAAAAAGAGATAGAGAGAATGCAAACAATGCTAGTGATAGTTTTGGTGGACATGAATATGCTTTCATGGCAAGGGAAGGAGCCTCCATGGCTTCTATTTCGAAGTGGATTATAGATTTAGGTGCTAATAAGCACATGACACCATACAAGTGTTCATTTAACACTTATGAAGAAATTCTAGCAACAAAAGTGTGGTTGGGAGACAATGGCATGGTGTAAGCCATTGGAATTGGCTCCATTGTGGTGGAGATTGTTGTGAAGGACCAAATCAAGAGGATCACATTGAAGGAAGTTTTACATGTTCCAAAAATAAAAAAGAACCTCCTTTCGGTGAACAAACTTATATCACATGGTTATAAGGTTCAATTTGATATGAATGGATATTTTGTCAAGACATTAGATGGCCAACATGTTGCCAAAGGCCTTAGAGATGGAAATCTCTACTTCATCAATTGCAAGAAAGTGAATGGAATTGAAGTGGCTACATTTGCTGATTTTCCACAAGATCAAGACAAGTTTGGAATTTGGCATCAACGACTTGGTCATTTGAATGCCAAATGCATGAAGAAGCTCCAATCCATGGTAAGTGGCTTGGATCTTGGTCAATTCAGCCACAATGCCATGACACTTGCTTGTGAAGGATGTATATAAGGCAAACAACAAAAGGCTTCATTTCTAAGTGGAGTTGCAACACGTGCAACAAAATTATTGGAGATTGTGCACTCTGATGTTTTTGGACCAATGAAGACACCATCAATTGGAGAAGCAAGGTACTTTGTCACATTCATAAATGATTTTTTAAGAAAGGTGAGGATTTACATCATTAAAGCTAAAAGTGAATGTTTCTCAAGGTTTAAGGAGTTTAAGGCTCTTGTAGACAAACAATGTGAGTGCAAGATCAAAGTGTTGAGAACGAACAATGGAGGTGAATATATGTGAAAGCATTTTGATGAATTCATAAAGATTCAAGGTATTGCAAGACAAACCTCTACTCCTTATACTCCACAACAAAATCGAGTTGTTGAAAGAGCAAATCGGACCATTGTGGAGATGGCAAGGAGTATACTTCATACACAAAACCTTGGGCTTGAATATTCGGCAGAAGCTATGGTAAATGCGGTGTACACAAGGAATAGGTGCCCAATAAGTGCACTTACATCAATGACTCCACAAGAAGCTTAGAGTGGGAAGAAACCTTGTGTTTCACACATGAGGATTTTTAAATGCATTACTTATGCAAAGATAACAGATTGTGTGAGGTCCAAACTTGATGCAAAAGGTACAAAATGTATATTTGTTGGATATTGTGAAGGTACCAAAGCATATAGGCTAATGTATTTAGAAACCAAGAAGATCATCAAAAGTCATGATGTAGAGTTTTTGGATCATAAGAGTATTTTTGAGCACTTGGAAGAGTGTCCAAGTGGGAGTGAAGGTGTGTTTGTGGACACATCTTCAAGTTCAACAAAGAAAGAAGAAGAAGATGATACTGATAATGAAGATGCAGGAAATAGAAGTTAAGATCAAGTGCCAAAGAAGGTAAATCATAGTGTACCTTCAATTGCTAGAACCAACAATGAAGACAATAAAGATATTGAAGGTGATGATGATGATGAAGAATATCAACCTTTGAGTGAGAAAAGATAAGCATTGAGGAAGAAGAAGGATAGAATTCAAGAAGAAGGGTCTTCTTCAAATGAAAGGAGATATCTTTTGAGAGAAAGAAAACCACGTGGTGAATGGTGGAAGGACCACATCTTTCCTCAAGTAAGTGAAGAACATGCCAATGTTGCATTTCTTGCTAATCCATTGAATTTATATGATGCAATGAAGTCCAAGTATGCATTGAAGTGAGAGAATGCTATAGAAGAAGAGTACAAATCACTCATGGACAATGGAACATGGGAATTGACTCAACTTCCATCAAATCGAGCTTCAATTGGTTGTAAGTAGGTGTTTAGAACAAAGAGGGATGCAATGGGTAATGTTGTGAGGTATAAGACAAGATTGCTTGCGAAAAACTATTCACAAGTTGCTGATGTGGATTTCAATGAGACATTTGCTCCCGTGGCCAAATTCACCACCATTAGAATCACTGTGGCAATTGGGGTAGCAATGAACTTGCAGATGCATGAAATGGATGTGAAGACGGCTTTTTTGAATGGAAGTTTAGAAGAAGACATCTACATGGAGCAACCTCAAGGATTTGTTGAAGAAGGCAAACAACACCTTGTTTGTAAGTTGAAGAAATCTCTGTATGGGCTAAAGCAATCACCAAGGACATGGTACCAATGCATTGATACATTCTTTGTGAATGAAGGATTTGTAAGGAGTGGGGCTGATTATTCTTTATATGTGATGCAATGAAATAGGTTCATATTGATTGTCATCCTCTATGTTGATGATTTGATCATCTTAACCAATACATTGAAGATGATGGATTAGTTGAAGGCAAAGTTAGAAAAGGAGTATGAAATGAGTGATTTGGGAGAGCTTCACTATTGTTTAGGAGTGAAGTTTGTAAGAGATCGTGCTAAGAAGACCATTACAATGACCCAAAGCAAGTACATTGAAGAAGTGTTGAAACGATTCAACATGGAGGAGTGTAAGCCTATTTGAACACCATTGGAGGCAAACTTGAAGTTGATGAAGCTCACGGATGAAGAGTTTGCTGAAATTGAAGGTCAAATGCAAGGTGTTCCATACAATGCAGCAGTGAACTCACTTATGTATGTAATGGTTGGCACAAGGGTAGATCTTGTATATGCGATGAGTGTTATGAGTCAACACATGTCAAAGGCTGGACCAATCCATTGGGCAACCATCAAAATGATCATGACGTACTTAAAAGGCACTTTGAACTTCAAATTATGCCTTGGAGGTGATAACATCAGTTTGTATGGTTATTGTGATGCGGATTAGACTGGAGATACAAATGATACAAGGTCAACAACGGGCTATATATTCTTTGTTGGAGTGGGAGCAATTTCATGGAATTGCAAGAGACAACCAACCATTGCAAAGTCAACAATGGAGGCGGAGTACATGGCAGCAAGCCATGGTGCAATGGAGGCAATATGGTTGAGACAACTTTTAGAGGAGATTGGAGATGTGCAAATGGAAGCAACTCCAATGGAGTGTGACAATCAAGGATGCCTTGTATTTGCAAAGAATCCAAAGCATCATTCAAGGACCAAGCACATTGACATTCAACATCACTTTATAAGAGAGAAGATTGAAATGAGAGTGATTGATATGAAGTATTATGCAATGGAAGAAATGCTTGCTGATTTGTTGACAAAGGCATTAGTAAAAGATAGACACCACATGTGGACAAAGGCATTAGGATTAAAAGCCATTTGACCAATAGCAAAGTGGGAGTGTTAAAGTAAAAGTAGAATAAATTACCTTATAGAGGATATTAACTTAGGTAAGTTGCTAGTGGTCAAAGGTTTGACTCTTGGTATATGGTAAGGGCATCCAATGGATATAGGACAAAGTCATGGACCAAGAGTCAAAGTCAAAAGGATAAAGTATTAACAAGGGAATATCCAAAGACTAAGTATGAGTTATTAGTATGTATCATAGGATACCTTCGAGGCTCGTGAGATGCCAAAAGGATCTTAGGGCCACATGTGTAAAAATCAAAGAGTGGAAGTTATTTTTTAGGGTAGCAACTACTACCTATAAGTAATGGGTATTGGAAGTAAGAGACATCTTATTCCATACTCTCTTTGTGTACAACCTTGCTGATGCTAAGTGTTGTGTCTTCAAAGCGTTTGTTCTTCAATACAACTTTTATACCTTATATCTAACAAGTCCTAGAATTGAACCCAATATTTATTAAATTTGATATTTTGAAGGTTACTAATTTTATTTTTTTATAATATATTTATTTTTGGAATAAAATTTAATATATATAACTTCTTACATGTAATTTAGAACATAGTAATAAAAAATGAAACATATTAGTTTTTTTAATGATATAAGTAACAATGTAAAAATTATATTTTTACTTTATAAAACATATCTTAATTTCAGAAGTTTATTTCATTATAAAAATAAATATTTTTTTAAAAAATATGATATAAAAGAAATGGCAAATAAACATTCTTGCACATAAGGTTTTTTTAATAACTATCTTTGATTTACTTTATTTGAAAAGATGTACAATTTGATGTTGTAATGTATAATCTTTTCCAAGTTGTGTAAGAGAGAAATATCAAATTAAATTCAACTTTCTTTTATAAAATATGAATAGTATAATTCTTTTATATCAAACATAAAATACACAATAGTTTATGATTTCTCAACAATTTTTTAAGTAGTGTGATAGCTACTAATATTTATTAACTTCTAATAAATCACTATTACATATATCTAAATATAATAGATTAACATAATTACTATTGTAAATATTAAAAATACTAATTTTATAAGATAATTTTATTAAAATAAGATATATTTTATTAAATAGATAAGTCATTTAAAATTAATATTTAATAATACCTTTTATCTAAATCTAAAGAATTCAAAATATGCATCAAATTTTTATTAAAATAGAAATATTATATGAAAAAATAACAAAAAAAAGAAAAAAAAGCCATCAAATTTGTAGCATAATATAATTGTTTTCTCATATACTTAATATTATACAATGTTACATTTTGTATCCAAATTCGAAGTATTCTATAAAAATAAAAACATCAAAGCATGGTATAAAGACTTAAAGAACTTTTGTAACTTTGATATCTTAAATCAACAAAAAATTTAATTATTACTCGAGATCTAGTTACTTTTTTCTTTGCAAACATTTTCATTTTAAAATCATTTCTTGTAAAACTTGGGTATTACTTTAGTTATAAATAATATTGTAGTTAATATAAAAACTTATTTATAAACATATGCCAAAAATTTAATTTTTAATCTTAACTCTATAAGCAATGTTTCTCTACTTCACAAATATCAAATTGATTTATTAAAATTGTCAATTTATTACATTTATTTATAATAAGGTTAATAAAGCAATTATACATTATAATTGATTTTATAAAGTATTAAAAATGATGCAATAAACACATTGTTTCACACAAATGCTTCACTCAATTTATCTGATGCAATAAACACCTTGTTTTGGCTTCAAATGATACACATAATCTCTGAACGAGCACCAGGCATCAATATTTAAAACTCCGACTACTTCATAACTATATAATGAAAAGCTCTATTCCATTCCTAAATGCCAAGGCTTTTTTAATATAAACTAGCGAAATAGATTGAATGAACCAATTACACAAAACATCTTTCAAACACGAAAAAAAAAGAAAAAAAAAAGAAAAATAATAGAGGGCGTTTCCTTACTCGGTTACGAAGTAATATCCAAGAAGAGAGCAGAATGTGCTCAATCTCCACCTGCTTTAGGTGAGGAGAAAAATCTAGTGAGTTATTTCATTTAAAGGGAGAGGAGTTCGTCACTTAAACCACGTTGACGATGGAAATTTGCAGCAATGCTACCCAATTGACTCGGCGTCCTATTCCACTGGTAAACCCAGTTGTATCAGCAGGACCCTCTTCTTCAAACGATGGCGTTGCCATTCTGTGTAAAAAATACTTGTACCACAACAGATAGTTATGAATCTGATATTGAATATCACAAGTTGGATCATCACTTGTTAGAGGTATATTCTCAGGAGGACAGCTTGGGCTATTGCGAGCAGGAACGTATTCCTGAACCAGAGCAGCAATCCTCATCTTTGAACTTAGTTGGAGCCCAAGCACTACAAATCTAACGAAATTCGTCTGTACATTGTTTGAGAGACGGGAAAATGTAAAACCTAGGAGCTAATACAATCCAGAAGGAAGGACCATCACCACCGTAAGGAACTCCGATGCCAATGATAGGGAGCTTCTTTGAATTTTAATTAAGGCGGCATGTAATTTGAAATGTTACAATTCTTCAAAGAAAGCTTCAGGTGAATGGTTCAGCCGTAATGGGTATAGACAGCAGCCACCCTTTCGATCTTGGCATGCAGGCGGCCATAGTTCACCTCAATGGGAGGCTCCCCTGTGCCACTTGCTCTGCAGAAGCACACAAACATCCCTCGTAAGAAATCTATACTGAGGAAGTTAAATAAGGCATGTCCACTGCTCTGTTGTTTGAGACAGCAGAGAATACGAACAAAAGCATCTGACTCTGGAGATCTGAAGGAAATCTTCCATAGAAAACAAGCGTAAGTGCAAGTTTTGAGGACAACAAGTTTGTGGACAGAGGTAGTAAACAAGCGCAGCGACGCGGAAATAAAGAGTGGAAGATGAGCTCACATACCCATGAAGGTCTGGATGTTCATACTGAGCATTCCAGCCGACATTAATATCGAATCCGGGGAATATTGGCAGCAAGGTCTTCTGGCGAACTTCAGGTAGGGGACCAGACAAGCCAAATGTTGATGTTACCTTCCAATTCCAATTGGTGGATTTTCTGATGAAATCATGACCAATCCCAAACTGCTTACACATGTTAGGACCGTGTGAAGAAAGGGTCTGGTGAGATAATGAGCGGATCCGATGCAATCTATCTCACAAGCTAAAATGTGCGCCACAAGAGAACGAAGATTTCAAGAATATGTATCAAAGTAAGCGCCCCATGGTTATAACACTTCCTAATATTATGGTTGTCCAATAAAGCCTGATCCCAATAAAAAGGAAAACAACGATAAACAAAGGACATTTGAAGTACCTGGAGATGCAAAATTGAACCAAGGGGTATCTTCTTCGTCAGGACCCGTATCTCCTTCTGTTCCGGTTCACAGATGACTTTCCAGTAGTTATTTTCAGAAGCCGGCTTGACGACAAGCTTGGTGTGACAATCGTTAGTGCTATATCCATTGACCTGCATACCACCAAACTGACGACAACCATTATCCTTCAGTGACACAAATGATTCTCCAATTACATGAGCGGATATTCATCCCCCAAACACTAAGAATAATGTCCCTTCCATGGCTGGTCCTCAAACCACAGTGTGTTTCAAAACAATAACACCTTCTTCATCTGAAAGCGAACACACACTCGCATATTGTGAACGCCACATCATCACTTCAAATGTCAGCAAATTTACTCTCTTCCCAACGTCTTTGGCGCTAAGTGGAAGCAATTGAAGCAGTTGCGGAATAGACTTGCAGATACGCTGACGTCTATTGTACTTCATCGAAACGGGTTAGGTCCATTCACCTCAAAATTGGCACCCAATTTAAGTCCTTCAACCTGTTGCCGAAACTTGATGGTAAAGATCTCGGGCATCAAATCAAATGTATAGAATTCTTTCAATTTGCGTTTCACATCGCCGCAGAAATCCTGGAAACCACGTGTGTCACCCCTAATTGGAGACACACTTCCTTGAGGACGAGCAGAAGAGGAGGCGTGCCCCGCTCTTCGAGCCCTCGAGGAATATCTTTCCACTTGCCCCTCGTTCTCCATACTAAGATTCCACCTCCCACAGCGTAAGACAATCCACAACTCTAATAAAAAAAACCCTAATTCTGCAACACGAATCTCCAGTCGCGTCCGAAAACTCCTCAACACGCAACCACACCACAACTATATCAAACTTCTTCTCAAATCCCAGCACGAAAGTCTGGATTCATCAGCCCTTTCAGGCTCCGAGATTCATCAGCAAAATCTCCGACTGTAAGATCCCAGCGACAAGTCCAAATTTGAATAACTATCAGCTCCAATCCTTTCTGGGTTCCAGACACTTCAAAGCTCATCGCCGTGTGTCAACAATATTGAGCAGCAACAACACTGTCGATTCCGTTTCCGATAACTTCTAACTCACACACATCGTCACCATTCCAGAGCATCACAAGCCATCGGTAGTGAAGCCTTGCGTGGAATCAAATTCCGGGTTCGAATTCACCGAGTTAGGTGTCGAAATTAGCACGGGCAACAATAACCCGTCCCGCATCGTGAGCGGGAGTTGCAGGTGCCGGGTATCAACAGTTTGACGCCATGCGGGTATGGGAAGGATCTGCGATTTAATTGTAAACTACATGAATTAAGGAAACCCAGGCACGACTTGTTATCATGTTTGTTATTTTTTTTTATTCTTGTTTTTTGACACAAGTAGGGATGTAGATTACATTGAAGTGCTTATCCCATTTCCTAGATCAACGGCAGTACAGGTGCTATTTGTGATTTTTATTTTTAAACAGTATAGATATTAAACTACATTGGGTTATTCCTATACCTATCCTAGTTAGTTTATTTTATGTTTGTAGTTAATCCAATTTAGTATTTGGTATCATTTGTTGGCATGTGATTTATTTTGTATTCATTCTGGTTGGTTTGTTTCTTTATTAAAGATGTCTATAACCATCTAATTTCTGTTCCAATTGTAAAGTAATTTTATACTCTTAAAAGTATGTTTGTATAGTATACTGTATACATTATTCCATGTGACACATTTATTGTTACTAAACTTAGACCATGTTTTTTAATTAATTTTGTATGGGTCCATATATCATTTTTTAAATATATATGAGCATTTTTTTTCTCATAGCCTGTTGCCGTTGTCATGGTCTTGATGACGATGATGATGATGATGATGATGATGATCTGTTTGTTTGAAAGACTGTTTCTTAGAATTGTGTCCATCCATCGATCCATGGATTTGAGTGGATCTGAAGGAGGATGCAGATTGCACGTCGGGTTAGTGGGCGGAGGAGGGGCAGGGCATGCGTCGGACCCATACGGTTGGGTGCAGGGAGGGGCAGGGCATGCGTCGGACCCATACGGTTGGGTGCAGGGAGGGGCAGGGCACGCGTAGAAGGGCGTGGGTGTGTGGACGGGGGAGGCATGGAGCCGGGCGCTCAGCACAGAGCGAACTATTCTTTCGCCTTTTACTAAAGAATACCGTGCGCTGGGCGCAACGACCGGCATAGGGAGAGTTTTTGGACTGCCCCGTTCGCGGGGCCCACCAACTGGAAGCACGAATTCGGATTGTCTGGATTTTACGGACAGGATTGAACAAGGACAGGGGCCTCCGCATGGCTTGTTTCCGTGGGTGGGTTGGAGAAGTGTGGCTCCTGCCACACCCGAGACACCCGAGAGTGGGAGAGAAGCAGCGACTCGCGGTCCGCGGAGGGGCTGGCGCCGGGCCACACATCATCCGTCAGCATAAAAATAACATAACATGCCGCGAGAAAAGGGGGGCGCGCGCGTGTGCGTGTGTTTCTTGGATTTGAGTGCGTGCGTTTGCCGGGAGTCGAACCCGGGTCCATTGCTTGGAAGGCAATTATCCTAACCGTTGGACTACAAACGCCCATCCGCCATCCGCCATCCGCCGACGGCCGCAAACCCGGACCACCCCCACGCCCGGTTCCACCCGCACGGCTGCGCGCTCACGGCGTCGTCTACTTGGCTGCTGATCCCGACGGGCCCTCCCGTTGGCGGCATCTCGTGCACCGTCTCCCCACGCAAAAGTCGACGCCTCAGCGTCTCTTTCTTCCAAGAGAGGTGCGCACACTTACTCGCTGAGTTTGCGCAGTCCTCCCCCGTTCGGGCACACCTCGCCGAACTCCAGCCTCGGACTCGCCGGTCGTGCTGGCACCGAGCTGTGTGGCACCTGCACTCCGAGGCTCCCCTGGAGTGCGCTCTGCCACGGTCCCACCGCCGCTCTGCCACTGCCGGCGCAACCACAGATCCGAGGCGAGAGCGACACAGGGCTGTGCACACTCCGAGCCATCCTGTTTGTTTGGGGTTTGTGCGTTGTGAGGTCCTGGCCTACGCCAGACCTTCCAGAAATTCTGGGGGCGCCCTCGCGGACACCGCAGGGGGGGTTTGGAAATAGTTTTCAACCAGCAATTGACGCGTCTCGGGTTTGCCTCACGAACTGCGTCATTACCCCAAGCGCAAAGATGCCGTCCCCCTTCCCTCCTCCCCCCTGCCATGTACCTCCCCCGGGGGCTCGTCTCCTCCCATCGCTCACGGCCACAGCAGCTGCCGGGAGCGTTCACTGGACCATCGATCGGGTGGGCGGCGCAAGTGACTTGTCCAGGCGCAGGTGCGCGTGGAGGGACTCTCCCTGTTGTGGCAGAGCGTCAGCGGCGCGCGATTCATTGTTGCGCTCACTCACTTCATCAATCAATCGGAGCGAATGTATGCAGCAGCCATCAGAAAATGCGGGGGTTTTCCCGTACACTCACGACCGCCAAATTAAAAACACACCCACACCTAGTGTCCTCCGGTTTCGGTTTCCGCTTTAGGCGGGGGCCGCGCGAACGCGAGCCCCCACTGCCACAAATTACGACGTGTATGCCCTCCGTAGAGAGATACTAGAGCCGCCCGCCCCGTCAGTGCAATGGGCCGGGCTCCTCTAGGCCATCCACCTTCCTGATCATGGATCGACCCCGCCCAGGTAAGTGCCCTCCGCATCGCTCCTCCGCACCCTTCTACCACCCACCCTTACCCCGCCGCTCCAACCCCTGTGGGACATTCTCACCCACCCTCGCTCTCCTGCTCCCTCCGCCCCTCACCATGCTTCGCCCACTGCACGCCTCCATCCTCCATTTCTCACTCACACATACAGTCACAAATCAATCAATCAATCAATTCCAAATGCCATCCCATCCAACACATCCATGCCCCTGGACTCAAAACATTTCCCCCTCCCCCCCCACCTATGCCAACGCTACATCTTACAACAGTTCTTGCGCTGCAGCCTTCACATCTGCACCCCACAACCCACCCTTGAACTTGCAAAAGTTTTATCTATTTCTAAAAAAAGAAAAAAGAAACCCATAACATAAACCTATAGACAAAACAAACAAACAAATAGACAAAACAAACAAACAAACAAACAAACAAACAAACAAAAAAAAAAAAAAAAAAAAAAAAAAAAAAAAAAGTGAAACTCACATGTTTTATTTTTCTTTCTCTCTATTGATTTGTGTGTACGTTTTGCATGTACATATACATAGACACTCTACCGCACTCACTCACATGAATATTCCCTAGGTAACTAAATGCCACGGTTTCCCATAATTTTTGGGGTATTTTGTTTGACCATGAGTAGCAGCACAGGTAGAGCCCCCCACCCTTTACAGTCTTGAAACGAAGAAGATCAGGGTATTCAGCATGGTTGTTTTGGTGTTGTGTGGTTGCAACATGCAAGAGAGCCTGGGGACGATGGTGATTCGGAGGGCGGGGGCTTGATTTGGTGGTGTAGCGAGTGTGTGGACATGTTGAAGTGGCAGTGGGTGGGTGGGTGGGGCAAGGAGGTGAGGGAGGCAGGGGGTGAATGCCCCATAGCGTGTGCAGGAGGGAGGGCGGAGGTGGGGGTAGAAGGGGGGCGGGGCGGGGAGGATGAGGCATACCTTTCTCGGCCTTTTGGCTAAGATCAAGTGTAGTATCTGTTCTTATCAGTTTAATATCTGATACGAGGCTCATCGAGCCTCACGATATTAATCTAATTTATCTCGGGTGCGGGCCCATCCGGCAGCTTGCTGCTCGGGCCGGCGCGCGTCGCCTTGGTCTTGCACTACCTCCTCGGCCGGCGCAGCCCATCTCCCCTCCGTTCCCCGGAGGGCCCCCCCCCCCCCCCCCGACCACAATGCAAATAGCGAAACAGGAAACAGTGTGCGCGCGAGTGGACCCCAAACGTCGGCAGTGGGGATGGGCGGAAGAGCCAACCAGCCTCATCACGCTCCGCTGGTGCACGTGCTGGTGATGCTCGATCTGGAGTTGGAGTTGGGGTTGGGGCTGGACGCCGCCTCCCCACCCCGCGGAGGCCACCTCGTCAGCCACACGCGGCTCCGTCGTCCCGTCGCCTTGTGTTCCCCCCGCGCCCCGCTAACCCACGCCAGCCCATCCCACAGCCCTGGACGCTGTTCAGCACGAGGTGGGTCCCCACTAACGCCGTGCCCGGGTTCTACAAACACACATCATGCAAGCATGAATGAATGAATGGATGGATGAACGAATCAACGAATCAAAACAAAAACATAACAAAACCAAGAATCAAAACAAAACACAGACGGAGAAGAAAAAGAAGAAGCAGTAAGAGGAAACAAATAAAGGAATGAATAATAATAAACACAAAATGTCCAGCAATATGAATGTAACCAAATTTGGTTACATTTTGGTATTTTGATCTGTTTTCATGTTTTGCTGTGTGTTTGTGTTTGTTTTTATATATATATATATATGTATGAAAACCTGATTTTGTTTATTGTTGATGTTGTTATTATTGTGTTTTTCGAAATACACGTTTTGGTTCTTTATCACAAATGTCACTCTGCTTATTTCTATGTACCAGTGTATGCTCGGAATTGGTCGATTGATTTGTTTCATTGTGTTTTCTTTTTCTCATAGCCTGTTGCCGTTGTCATGGTCTTGATGACGATGATGATGATGATGATGATGATGATCTGTTTGTTTGAAAGAACACAGCTTGAAAATTCGAGATTTCCCCTTCTCTCTTCACTTGCCTGTTTCTTAGAATTGTGTCCATCCATCGATCCATGGATTTGAGTGGATCTGAAGGAGGATGCAGATTGCACGTCGGGTTAGTGGGCGGAGGAGGGGCAGGGCATGCGTCGGACCCATACGGTTGGGTGCAGGGAGGGGCAGGGCACGCGTAGAAGGGCGTGGGTGTGTGGACGGGGGAGGCATGGAGCCGGGCGCTCAGCACAGAGCGAACTATTCTTTCGCCTTTTACTAAAGAATACCGTGCGCTGGGCGCAACGACCGGCATAGGGAGAGTTTTTGGACTGCCCCGTTCGCGGGGCCCACCAACTGGAAGCACGAATTCGGATTGTCTGGATTTTACGGACAGGATTGAACAAGGACAGGGGCCTCCGCATGGCTTGTTTCCGTGGGTGGGTTGGAGAAGTGTGGCTCCTGCCACACCCGAGACACCCGAGAGTGGGAGAGAAGCAGCGACTCGCGGTCCGCGGAGGGGCTGGCGCCGGGCCACACATCATCCGTCAGCATAAAAATAACATAACATGCCGCGAGAAAAGGGGGGCGCGCGCGTGTGCGTGTGTTTCTTGGATTTGAGTGCGTGCGTTTGCCGGGAGTCGAACCCGGGTCCATTGCTTGGAAGGCAATTATCCTAACCGTTGGACTACAAACGCCCATCCGCCATCCGCCATCCGCCGACGGCCGCAAACCCGGACCACCCCCACGCCCGGTTCCACCCGCACGGCTGCGCGCTCACGGCGTCGTCTACTTGGCTGCTGATCCCGACGGGCCCTCCCGTTGGCGGCATCTCGTGCACCGTCTCCCCACGCAAAAGTCGACGCCTCAGCGTCTCTTTCTTCCAAGAGAGGTGCGCACACTTACTCGCTGAGTTTGCGCAGTCCTCCCCCGTTCGGGCACACCTCGCCGAACTCCAGCCTCGGACTCGCCGGTCGTGCTGGCACCGAGCTGTGTGGCACCTGCACTCCGAGGCTCCCCTGGAGTGCGCTCTGCCACGGTCCCACCGCCGCTCTGCCACTGCCGGCGCAACCACAGATCCGAGGCGAGAGCGACACAGGGCTGTGCACACTCCGAGCCATCCTGTTTGTTTGGGGTTTGTGCGTTGTGAGGTCCTGGCCTACGCCAGACCTTCCAGAAATTCTGGGGGCGCCCTCGCGGACACCGCAGGGGGGGTTTGGAAATAGTTTTCAACCAGCAATTGACGCGTCTCGGGTTTGCCTCACGAACTGCGTCATTACCCCAAGCGCAAAGATGCCGTCCCCCTTCCCTCCTCCCCCCTGCCATGTACCTCCCCCGGGGGCTCGTCTCCTCCCATCGCTCACGGCCACAGCAGCTGCCGGGAGCGTTCACTGGACCATCGATCGGGTGGGCGGCGCAAGTGACTTGTCCAGGCGCAGGTGCGCGTGGAGGGACTCTCCCTGTTGTGGCAGAGCGTCAGCGGCGCGCGATTCATTGTTGCGCTCACTCACTTCATCAATCAATCGGAGCGAATGTATGCAGCAGCCATCAGAAAATGCGGGGGTTTTCCCGTACACTCACGACCGCCAAATTAAAAACACACCCACACCTAGTGTCCTCCGGTTTCGGTTTTACTTGTATCAATCCATTTAGTTTTTGATTATAAATATTAATCATGTACATTTTATATAAATTTAGATTTTAATTAGTGTGGTACTTCAAGACATTAGCTATACAATGGATTAGGCAGAGTTTGAATTATAATCTTTGGAGACAAAATCTTATAATAAAATATAATTTTAGAATATATATTTTTTTAAAATGTAAAACTTGTTTTTACATTGAATCAATAGAATTATAAAATAAAAAGATAAAATAATTATTTAAAACAATTAAAATTTTATTAATAATAATTTTTTATTTATGAAAAAGATGATGAACTATTGTAAAAATATATTAACTTTAGAAAATTATGAATTTTTTTTTTTTGATATATTTTAATTTATAATATCGTATACTATTAATCTCTCTCTCTCTCTCTCTCTCTCTCTATCTATCTATCTATCTATCTATATAGTCTTTTTTATTTGAGTTTTTTTATTTAACATTTGATATATATTTATTGGTGTAAGACAGAATGTTTTAAACATTTATTTGAATTCATATTAGAACACTTTACTCTTCTCAATTAAATCATTCATAATTTCATAAAAGAAAAAGAAAAAAAAAAGAAAAAAATCACAAAAAATCTATATATATTTTTAGTGTAGAAATCTAATAATTAAAATACAAAAAAAATAATCAAAATGGCTTATGTTATTTTCATGTATAAATATAAAAACATATAGATACAAAAAAAAAAATCAGGTGCAAATTATTTGAGTATCTTAAAGTTTTACATGTATTTGAAAAAAAAAAAAAAATCAAAATATCTAAAAAGGAATTGCAAGAAATATACAAATTTCAACCAATGGAAACAAAATGTATTTTGTAATGCATTTGCCTTCTTTTTTTTTAAACAAATTTTCAGAACTGATTATTTACCGAACAGTTTTTTTTTTAAAAAAATTATCTTTTGAAAAAAAATAAATCTATGAAGACAAACGCCATTTGGCCAAGGAAAACCTTATGTTATCCAAAATCAATATTCCAATAGACACTGAAAATGCTGAATTATAACATTGAAAATCGGAAGCTTCGTAGATATAAGCATCAGTGCAGGGTCAAAATTAACGGCGCCTGAGGCTGCCGAGCATGTCGAGCTTGTCATCTCCTGATCACCAATGCCAGTCTCACGATGTCCAGTCTGCGATGTGAGTACTGTAAACCCTCCAATTACCTACTTCAGAACGAAACTTGGGCTTCATCAGATCAGATACGGCCTTTGGGCAAGCTTTTGCACAGAATGGTCGAAAATCAGTACCGAGTGGTTGATTTGGACACCGTTCGGGCGTGAATCTCGCCGCTGCAGTTCGGAGCTGACGTTGCAAGGATGAGACAGTGAGGTCCGGGAGATCGCAGCTTCCAATCTGTGTTGCAGAATCCACAGAGAGCAAAAATAGGTATGAAGATGGAAGTTAAAATTCTAAAATAATCTATGCATTGTTTAATTCATGCTGGATGCATTGACTGGCGGTGTTTGTTTCGGGCCTTATAACCACGTGTGCTTAAATATGGTGGCGAATGCGCACTGCTGGATTGCTATGGTCGTTATTTATAGTTTTAGGTCTAGTTGGGTTTGACCTAATTGATATGGTTGTTGTTTGAACTATGAAACTGTGGTGTAGTTGTTTTAGCACCATTTGAAATTAGGATGAGTCGTGGTGATTTCGTCTTGAAATGAATGATAATAACCGTATCGTGTGTGTGGGGTGTCTTCGGGAAGTGGAGACAACTATTTTATGAGGTTTTGGTTGGGAGATGCATGGCTGAGGATGGGAGATCAAGGAGGCCGAGACGCATCATTCTCGTGCGGCATGGGGAAAGTGAAGGAAATGTTGATTCGAAGAAGTACTGTGATATTGCAGATCCCAAAATTCGTCTAACTGAGGCAGGGGCTAATCAGGCAAAGGAATGCGGTGAAAAGATACGAGACATGATCAAGACGCAAAGCGAGGATGACGAGTGGCTTGTTTATTTCTACGTGTCGCCTTACACCCGGACACTGTGCACTTTAAAAGAGATTGGACGCGCCTTTGAATCAGACAAGAAACACATCGTCGGTGTGCGTGAGGAACCTCGCATCCGTGAACAAGATTTTGGAAATTTTCAGGAAACGCACAAAATCACAGCAGTCAAGAAAGAAAGACAAAGATTCGGGCGGTTCTTTTATAGATTTCCAGAAGGCGAATCGGCAGCGGATGTTTTTGACCGTGTGACTAGTATTAATCCAATACACTTTCTTGCCAGCAAAATCTCATGTTCTGGAGAGGCTGAAAAGTGCTGTGCATCACTGCATCGGTACAGGCTATGCATGACATTTCAAGTGCATTGTCCCATCACGCCTTGGAGTAGTTAGGGGTTTGACCTTGGATGAACGAGATTCAGCAGTTCACTGGAAAAGACTTGTGCTTGATTTAGGGAGGTAGCATTAAATATCGATCTGTCCTGCTTTTGTTACGAGCATTTGGACAGGAAAAGTTCTTGTTTTAGTGTTTCACATTTGAATTTCTACCATGGTCTTGGCCTTATCTATTCGGTTGTGTGACTTATTCCAGGTTTCCTAGAAAGTTTATGGCGAGATATCGACATGAACCGCTTACACAAACCAAGCAGCACCAAAACACTAGAGGTCAACCTGGTGATCGTTTCTCATGGAGTGACGATGAGAGTTTTCCTCATGCGGTGGTTCAAGTGGACGGTTGAGCAGTTTGAGAAGTTGAACAATCCGAAGAACTGTGAAGTTCGGGTCATGGAACTTGGCGAAGGGGAGGAGTACAGTTTGCTGGTTCATCACACACAAGAGGAACTGGAAGAATGGGGGCTCGACGTCGACATGATCAAGGACCAGGAACAGCGCAAACATGGAAAGAGAGGCGATATGAACGGCTTGGAACCTGGCGACGAATGGCCCAGGAGTGGATTCCAGTTCTTCGAGAATCACGAGGAAACCTCATTTCTGAACAGAGAGCTCGAACAGTGTGAAGCAGAACAAATGGCTACAGACGAGGAAAACTACTTCTTAGTGGACGGATCTGTACGTGGGGGATAACTCGGTCTGATGAGTGATGGCAAGTATTCAGATGGTTAATAAATATACATATATTTGTATATATTTATATATGTTTGTATACATGGAATATACTATAGGAGAGGGCAGGTGTCAATCCACCTCGACGTGTCTGGTGGAATCATGTAATACATTCATTGTACAAATCTTTTCGAATGTACGACATTCTGAATGTAAATTACCTCCTTTTAATGTCTCCGAAACAAGTATGTCCCTATTTTTGGGGCAGTTTACAAGCTTATTCCTCCCATTTAACAAGCTGTAAACACCTTGTTCTCAAAGCTGTGTTTACTTCGAAAGCCTCAGGCTCTGTCCTGTTCCTTCTCCGTCCTTTGTGGGGGGGTCACTTTATGGGCGGTATTTTGCTTAACTGTAGGTCATCATTGTCTGAAGGGGTCATTTTTAAAATCTGCAATCAACATTGTTTCTTCTCTTTTGGAGAACCTGTATGTGTTCTAATAAAGAGCTTTTATTTAATTCTTAGATATAAAATAAAAATTTCTTTAGACCATTAAAAATAGACTCAAGTTACAAGTACATCCCAAATTGCTGTATGCACACCCATTATGTTTATACATGCATCTAAGGCCTTTGATTGGCTACTCTAGATCCCCTCTCTTTTATTCCAACACAAGTCCTAGTCTCTTCTTCCAAACCCGTACCAAGACAAAGAAGAGAAAGAAGAAAGGACTAGGACCCATGGCAAAACAAGGAAGAGGAGGTCTAGGACCTGCATTGGAACAAAGAAGAGGAGATCTAGAGTAGTCAATTAAAGGCCTTGGGTGTACATATAGACATAATGGGTGTGTCTATGGAAATTTGGAATGTGCTTGTAGCCCAAGACTTAAAAATCAGCTTTAAGATTAAAATACAATAAATAATTGATACCAATTTAAAATTAAATTTTTCCAAAAAAAATACTTTAGAAAAGTTTTACATGTAAAAAGCAAGCAAAAAAAGGCACAAGAAAAACCCTTCTTGAAATTAGGTTGAGAAAACTTAAACAAATTGTATGTTTTTTTATTTCAAAATTAAAAAAATTAATAAAAACTATCTATTAATATCAGCTATAAGACTGAGAATTAAGATAATTTGGGCCTTAAATTTTATTTTTGCTATTCTAATTAGACTTGCAATACATGGTTAGAAATAAATTAAAATAATAAATATTAATAATAGGATTTTTTTTACTTCTTGTTCTCCTCCCTTTTCTCCCTTGTCATCCATGATTACATGGAAGTAGAGAACAAGTACTTGGCTTGATTCAATAGATGAAATTTTATAATATTATATTAAATTACTATTTATAATATATTTTCTATAAAAATTATTATTAGAATAAATTTAATATGATATAATATTATAAATATATACAACTCAATTTAAGGTTAAAGGATAGAATTTTATAAATTATGTATAGTCTTGTTATTTATGTAAAATCATCTCAACCTAGTAATAAACCATGTTTCAAAAAAAATTATTAAGTATGCAACATAAATATGTAAGTAGTATGTAAGTAGGAAAATTAATTAAGGAATATCAATTAACTCAATAAATTTGTATATATCCATAAAATTAATATATAGTTACAAATTTTATTATACAATGTGTATATATATATATATATATATATATATATTTATTTATTTATAAATTTAATGCATTCAAATTTATTAGCTAATAAAAAATTCAAAAATATCTAATACTTTTTAATATAAAAAGTATGCTTATATTTTGATATAAGAGTTTTTTTAATCTTTTTAATTATTATAAGAGATATATTTATAAAATATATTTTAATTAAAGAAATATTTAATTTGACTAAAAATTTAAAGTTACAACCATATTTTTAATGCTTCAAATATAAACATAGAAAATAAATATAAATCACTATTTTAAAATATAACTTAAATATTTAAAACATATAAAGATAAAATATTTTGGATGATTAATGTATTAGTTGTATATAATTGATATGAATCATAATTTAGTTATACAAAAGAATAAAAAGAATCTTTTTGATATAAAATTATAATTTTTTTAGAATTCTAGGTGCTTTATAAGTTTTATTACTAAAATTTGAGAATATAAGCTATTTCAAATATGGGATATTTTAATTAAATAAAAATAATAATATTAATAATTAAAATATATTTAAATAATATTAATATTAATATGTTTAATATGTTTAATATAATATTAATATATATAATACTTATTTAAACATAAGTTATTCTTGACTTCACATGATCTTATATAAAATATAAAACCTTGCATAATTTATACAACTTCTATCCAATAAAGTTATGGATTAAGCAAGATACATATATACATACAAAAATATAAAGATATAAATTTAAATAAAAAAATAATCATTTATTTTTTTTAGTTGAAAATTTAAAAAATCATATTTTTTATCAATAAAAATTAAATTTAAAAATATATATATACAGTAATTAGTTTATTATGAAAAAATTAAACTATGCAATGATTTCAATTATGTCAATTTTTACCTCTCTTAAATATAAAAAATTAATATATTAGCTTTTTTCATGTATTAATATTTCAATTATATAAAAATAAAAATAAATTAAAGCTAACATATACATTTTTTAAGTTACATGATCTAACTTGTCAAAGAATACACTAGCAGCTTTTTGAGTTATATTCTTTTAATTTAATGTTTATGAGTTAAAAAAATATATTTTATATATATATATATATATATATATATATATTATTTCTATTATTTTAGTTTGAAATCTTAAGATTAACTTTTGACTTGTTAAAAAACAATATTTCAGTCTTCCTAAGAACTCAATTTGTATTTCTATATTTTAATTTTATTAATAAATTTATAAATTTTACCATTTAACAATAAAATGTCTATATTTTTTAGTAAAATTTTATTTTATTATATTTTTTACAAAAAAATATATTCTTTTTAATATTTTATCTTTTGTATTATTTCTAGTACAATCTCTTATATATATATATATGATATTAATTTAGTAATGACTTTTTTTTCTATTTACTTAATAAAGATATAAAATAATAATTTTTCCCATTATTTCATATTACTCTAATAGTGTAATACTCATTTTATTTGGTAGATATTTAAAAAATATTTAAGAATATTTTGAAGAAGATTAGTGATTGTAGTACTTATTTCAATAGAACTGTTATTGTGTGTACATTTGATAAAATCTTAAAGAACATTAGTTTGGAATAAGTAGAAATAAAAAGTTTTTTAAAGATTCTATGTTAAAAGATAGTATATTTATATATATCTAAAAAAATAATTTCAACTATAATTAATATTTTTAGAGTAGAAATTAATGGCTTTAAATTTTATATATAGCTTTAAAAAGATCTCAATTCCATTGCATCTAAAATAGTCTAAAATGAAGATAAATTGGCTCTAAAATTACAAAAGTCATGAAAAAAGATAAAAAAAAAATTATTGATATTTTTTGTAATTCTAGTACAATGCTATATATTTTAATTATAGAAAATGGTAATTTTTAAAATCTTTTCAGAAACTATATAAGATGAAAAAACTAAATTAAATGAAATGTTAATAAAGACTTATAATGGATAAAGAGATGGCATCTTTTTATAAAATCCAAGCATAGAATTTGATATAACTACATCAAAAATAAAAACAATTGGTTATAAATAGGTGTACAAATTTGGTTGCGAATTTGTTGCTAATAGGTGTACAATTAGTTGCTTAACTCTTTTCCATGTAATTTATGTTTACAAAAATTATACAACATGATTTAGATTTACAATAATAAGACTTTATCATTATTTTTTTCACCTAGAGTTATAGAAAAGATATTTATACATCAAGTAAAAATCTATAAAAAAATTAAAATTAAAAAATTAAAAATACCTTTTATATAGGATTAAAAAATACTAAATAAATTAAATTAAAGTCTAAAATAATTGTACAAGTAATTTAATGCCTTTATCATAAAATAAAAATATACTTGTGATAAATTTAAGTATTGTGTGTATTTCAAATAATTATAAAAGACTAGCTCTTATAATTATATCATATTTTGAGAGATGAATATACATTCCAAAAAGCAAAGCATAATTATGTATTCTTTAAGCTCGTCATGACTTTTCAATAGATAGACATTTTAGATATAACAAGACTTTGGAGTTAATATCAAAAGATTTTTAGTAGCTTCAAATGTAAAAGGGAGACTTTGTACAATCATGTAATATTTGTTTAAGATCAAAAACTCCTCATCATTGATCTTATGGACTTCTTCAACCATTACCTATTCTAAAACAACCATGGTCTTTTGTTACTATAGATTTTATTATAGATCTTCTAATTTTAAGTTTATATAATTATATATTTGTGATATTATATTATTTTACCAAGATAAATTTTTTTGTATCATATATGAAATCTATCTTAAGTGAAAAAATAGCTAATTTTTTCTTTGACAATATCTATTATTATTATGGATTGTCCAAGGATATTATATTGAATAGGAGAATTAAATTTATATCAAGATTTTGGAGAATCCTTTTAAAGATTTTAAATATAGATATAAAGCTATCTTTGGCCTTTCATCTTTAAATTAATGAACAAATAAAGCATATAAATCAAGTTTTGAAGTAATATTTAAGGTATATTATTAATTACCAACAAGATGATTGAATAATTCTTTTGACATTTATAAAGTTTACTTATAATAATATAATATATTTTTTATATAAAAAATAAATTTTTATTAATTTTAATTATTATCTATAATTTAATGTTATTGACTTCTCAAAAATTGATAATCTTGCAATAGAAGATTTGACAAATTTTTTATTTGAGCTACATACAACAATAAAGGCACAATTAAAAGAAGCTCAAAAATGACAAAAGACTAATATAGATGCCTATTGTAAAAAGTAGCTTCAATTCCACATTGCTGACAATATATAGTTACTTTGTCACAATATTAAGACTAGTCATCCTTATGACAAGTTGGATTACTATAGGCTTAAATTATTTTCTATTTATGAAAAAGTCAATCCTATTGTTTATCAATTATATCTATCAAATTCTATGAAGATCTATTATATATTCCACATGTCTTCTTTTAAGCCATATAAGATAGTGAATATCTCATAAAGAAGACAAATGTGACCTATTCTTAAAGAAATAGATAATAATCAGGATAGAAGAAGTCTTAAATTTAAGGCAATGTCATGATACACTTAATTTGAGTGCATTAAAGATGTTTAGAAGATAATTAGTTTTACTTATAAGAGAGGAAGAATATAATACTAATATATTTATAAGTTTGAATGGAATTTATAATATGAAATTGTTACCTTAAATAGATTATTCAAGCTTTGAAGGAATTGTCTTTTAGGATAGATATCCAATTCTATAGTGGTTCAAGATGGATATTGAAAGAATATTAAAATAAGGATTTTTAGCATCAA